CCATTTTTTATTTAATCCATTTTCAAGGTTTTTTTTTGTTTTTGTTTTTGTTTTTTGTTTTTTGTTTTACATATAGCAAGAATTCATTGAACCAACAATGACAAGTGCAACCTGGGAGATTCATAATCAGGTCACCCTGAGAAATGTGTTCCGAAGAGGTGCCAGCAGAGCTTAGTATTTTATTTTATTTTATTTATTTGTTTGTTTGTTTGTTTATTACTGTAATATAGTTGATTGTACATATTTGTGGGTTATATCAACACCTGTGTGCAATATGTGATGCTCAAATCAGGATAATTACTATATTCAACATTATACGATGTAATCAATTTCTGTGGCCCTTTACCCCTCCTTCCCCTCCCCCTTTCCTACTTCTCAGTTCTGTTCTCTCATTTTGAAAGTTCAATGTATTGTTGTGATTGTTGTATCTTTCTTTTCTGTTTTTTAATTTATTTTTTAGTTCCCACTTATGAAATATGCAATATTTCTTTCTGTGCCTGGCTTATTTCATTTCACATAATTTTCTCTAAGTTCATCCATGTTGCTGCGAATGGCAGTATTTCATTCTTTTCTATAGCACAGTAATATTGAATTGTGTAAATATACCACATTTTCCTTATCCAGTTGTCTGACGATGGGCATTTAGGTTGGTTCCAACTCTTGGCTATTATAAATAGAACTACGGTAAACATGGGAGTGCAGGTATCTCTTCAACATGATGATTCCCATTCCTTTGGGTATATACCCAGCAATGGAACTTCTGGATTGTATGGCAGTTCAATATGTAGTTGTTTCAGGAACCTCCATATCATTTCCCATAATGGCTGCACCAATTTAAAGTCCCATCAACAGTGTAGGAGGATTCCCCTTTCTCTGCATCCTGCCAGCATTTACTGTTCTGTCTTTTAGATAATAGCCAGTCTAACTGGGGTGAGATAATATCTCAGCATGGTTCTGACTAGCATTTCCCTGATGCCATGTGATGTTGAGCATTTTTTCATGTGTCTGTTGGCCATTTGTATATCTCCCTTTGAGAAATGCCTATTCAGTTCTTTTGCCTATTTTTTAATCAGGTTATTTGTTTTCTCACTGTTAAGTTGTTTGAGTTCCTTGTATATTCTAGATATTAATCCTTTGTCAGATACACAGTTTGCAAATATTTTCTCCCACTCCTAGGCTGTCTTTTCGCTCCCATTAATTGTTTATTTTGCTGTGCAGAAGCTTTTGAGTTTGATATAATCCCATTTGCTTTTTTCCTTTTGTTGCCTGTGCTTTGGGGATCATATTCATAAAGTCTTGCCCAGTCCTATATCCTGAAGTGTTTCCCCTATGTTTTATTTTAGGAGTTTTACCGTTCAGATCTTCTCTTAAAGTCTTTAATCCATTTTGAGTTGATTTTGGTATATGGTGAGATGTGTGCGTCTAGTTTCATTCTTCTATAGATGGATATCCAGTTTTCCCAGCACCATTTATTGAAGAGGCCGTCTTTTCCCCAATGTATGAGCTTGGTGCCTTTGTCGAAGATCAGTTGGCTATAAGTCTGTGGGTTGATTTCTGGGTTCTCTATTCTGTTCCATTGGTCTGAATGTCTGTGTTTATGCCAGTACCATGCTGTTTTGGTTACTACAGGTTTGTAGTATAACTTAAAGTCAGGTAGTGTTATGCCTCCAGCTTAATTTTTTTTTTTGCTCAGGATTGTTTTGGTTATTCTGGGGTCTTTTGGTGTTCCATATGAATGTTAGGATTGTTTTTTCTATTTCTGTGAAGAATGTCATTGGTATTTGATGTGGAATGCATTGAATTTGTAGATCGCTTTAAGTAGTGTGGATATTTTCACAATGTTAATTCTTCCAATCCAAGAGCATGGAATGTCCTTCCATCTTTTTGTGTCCCCTTCAATTTCTTTCAACAGTGACTTGTAGTTCTCATTATAGAGATCTTTCACCTCCTTAGTTAAATTTATTCCTAGGTATTTTATTTTTTTGGTGACTATTTCAGATGGGCTAGCTTTCTTGATTTCTTTTTCTGCTAGTTCATTGTTGGAGTATAAAAACACTACCGGTTTTTGAGTGTTGATTTTGTATCCTGCAACTTTACTGAAATCATTTATCAACTTTAAGAGCTTTTTTGCAGGGTCTTTAGGCTTTTCTATATATAGGATCATGTCATCTGCAAACAGGAACAAATTGACTTTGTCTTTTACAATCTAGACCGCCCTTTATTTCTTTCTCTTGCCTGATTGCTCTGGCTAGTACTTACAATACCATGTAAAATAGGAGTGGTGAGTGTGGGCATCCTTGTCTTGTTCCTGTCCCCATCCAGTATGATATTGGCAGTGAGTTTGTTATATATGGCTTTTATTGGGTTGAGATATCTCTCTATCCCCAATTTGATGAGAGTTTTTATCACGAAGGGATGCTGAATTTTGTCAAATGATTTTTCTGCATTTATTGAGATAACCTCCTTGACTACTCTTTGAATGTGTTACACTCATCAGTTTGAGAATATTAACAATTTATTTTCTAATTGCAATATAGAATATCCATATCTTCTGGACATTAAGGAAGAAGATAAGTTTAAATAATTTTCTGACAATGAAGTTCAGACATAAAATAAAACTGGGGGTCCTGAAGCATGGATCCGGAGACCAGATCCCCCTCCCACAATCACGCACACCAACACCCCAGGGCCCACCCATGGACCTGCGACTTGGAGCCAAGGACTGGACCCCACCCAACCAGGCACACTGCCAGTGCCTCAGTGCCTCGGGAACCACCTGCAGACCTGAGGCATGAATCTGGGGACTGGACCCCCCCACACACAACCAGGCACACTGCCAGCACCAAGGAGCACGCCAAAGACATCACGTCCATGTGGGCAGCCCACCACAATAACCACAGCTGCCGTGAAAGCAGCTAGACACCACAACCACCATGCAGATGGTCTGCCAGCTACTGGAGTGCACTGACACAAGGAGAGTCACCAGCAGAGACCAAAGAAAAGAAGAGGATGTCTCTCTCCACAAAGCCCATTCCAGTGTGACAGAAGAAGCAACTGCTCTACTATAATATTGGGGGACCTGAACACACCTCTCAGCATTGGACAGATCATCTAGGCAACAAATCAACACAGTAACCATTACTCTTTCAGAAGGAGGGAAGAAATCTAGGGTAATTAGAAGGGGGAGGGGGGGAGGGGGAGGGGATAGGGAAAGATTGAACAAGGGGCACAAAGAATAAGTATGATTTGTAAAAATATATGTGCTAGTAATATTGATTTGATCAACACATCTCAATGTTGAACCCCCAAAATATGTATAATCAATTATGATTCAATAAAAATTAAAAAAATAAAATAAAATAATATAAAATAAAACTGGGACTTCCTGTGAAGACTCAAAACACACAATTACTCAAAAGTATGAAGAAACCATTTGGCAATACAGACAGCATAGGCCACTATTTATACACACTGATTGGGTAGAAAAGACTAGAATTGAAAAGTCAAGAAACAGACTTCATTTCATGAAAATGAATAGAAAAGCATATGAGGTAAATGAAAATAAAACTCATGGTTAGCGTGAGTAACTGGGGTATAAGTCCTGGAAATAAAATAAAATGTAACCACTGAGCAAATAAAATTTTTACTGGATTTCCATCTCTTCATGAGATAGATGATGCTAGTTTCCCTCTCTCTCCATTAGGTCATGTATCTCTCCATGGCTGAATGCTGCTAGGAATAAGGCAGTATTGCAGCATCAACTTTTTTTCCTATTTCCTTTTTCACAGATGTACAAAGAAACCTTGTTCGTATAACAGCTAACACATACAGTATATAGGATGTGACAGGCACTGTTCTAAGTGATTTACATCTATATATTTTTTTTTTTTGGTGGCTGGCCGGTATGGGATCTGAACCTGTGACTATGGTGTTATGAGGATTCACTCTAACCAACTCAGCTAACTGGCCAGCCGCACTTTATATCTTGATATATTAAATCCTCACAACAGCCATATGAAGTATATGCCGTTAGCACCTTCTTTTTATCAATGAGGAAACTGGTGCCCAGAAAGGTCACTTGCCCAAGGTCACTCAGCGAAGCTGGGATCTGAGCCCACCCAGGTAGTTGGCTACAGAGCCTATGCTTCTAGCCACTAGGCAATACTGCCTCTCTAGGCTGCCATCAACAAATACGACCAAAAGGAATTTTCTATAGCAATGACACTCAATTCTTTGAATTCCTTACTAACTACGTCAAAAATCACAAAATGATCTGTCATTAAAACTTACGTTTAATAATCTATCAGCTGACAACTAGATTATGTCATCCTTCAATTCTATTAAATACAAACAAATGGAAATAGCCATCATGCAAAAAAAGATTTGTTTTGCTATTACCAGAATCCAATTAGACACCAATTTTTCTGTACCTTTGCTTAAAACCCTGGAAATTTTTACACCCAAGGACAATGAACAATATTAAGATTCTAGGTGGGCCATTCTTTTATAAAGCAGAAAAACAATAACTGTGAACGGGGAGGTGAGAAAACAGAATCCATCCACATGAGGTGCTCTCAAGAAGTTCAATTTTAGGAAAGAGAACCAGAATTGTCTTCTTTAAAACCATCTTCATCTACATAGCGCTTCAAAAGTATTCATAATGCTCAGATTCAGATGTTTGTAAGCTTAAGGTTGTCAGCAAGCTCTCGTAGACTTTCTTCACTTTTTAAAATTCTTTTAAAAATTTGTTGTTGTTGTCGTCTGCCTGTATTATTTCATAAAGACTATCTTTGTGATGAGAGATTCTTTCTTTTGCTTATTCTAATCTGCTGATTAAGCTTTTTGCATTTTTTTATTTCATTGAATGAATCCTTCATTTCCAGGAGTTCTGTTGGTTTTTCTTTCTTTTTTTTTTTTTAAGGACATTAATTATCTCTGCTGGCTACAAACCCCAATGTCAGGTACTTTTAAATGGAGCAAAGCAGCTATAAGAGCATTACCTGGGAAAGTGATTAACCTTTTGTGCTTCAGAGAGGGTGCGAAGTAAGAAGGGTTTCAGGTGGGATCCTGTCCACATTAGGTTATAGTCAGTGCTGCTTGGGTGAACCTGAAGATAGACAGAAAGACAAGAAGGCAATAAAATGTAAGAGGCTGTTTCCAGGAAGAGCAATGGCAGAAAAGGCCACAGTGATTTTTCATCCACAGAGCACTCACAGGAGTAGCTCAGTCAGTATGTGAGCCTACTGACACAATAGCAGAGTATCACAGAACACGGGAATAATCAAGTTTAAAGAATGGGAGAGCTGGCCAAATTCCAGATGCAAAAAGTAAAATAAATTAACCCTTCTATAGAAGTCCATGATGTCTCAGTATTCTTACATATCAAAGTATAAGATGAGACTCCAAACCCAAAACTCCTAAGTCTGCCCTTATGCCCTTGCAGACATGGGTATAAAGTGTTCATCAGAACTAAAACCTCACAGTAGCAAACCAACGTAGAATTCATTCGTTTATTCATTAGAATTCATTTGTCCATTTATTCAACAATTACGTACTCTGTGCCTGTAATACAATAGGAACCCTGTTAAGTGTTGAAGATAAAATAGCAATACGACAGGGTATAAATCGATATCAGAACTTCCTCAAAATGTGTCTAACAGATCTCAACCTAGGATAAGGAGCCAGCAACCAAACTTTTATCAATTGCCTCAAAGTATATATAGTGAAAGTCTGTTCAGCATTTTTGCCTGTCTTTTTTGATGATAACATCCCAATTTCCCCAATTTTCTTTGGGGAATGACATACTACTTGGTTTTAAAGGACCTGACAATCACCCACCCATACCCTCTTCCAAAGAGTAGATCCATGACCCAAGTTAGACCAATCATTCTATCTCCAGAATGTGATTTTTAATCAGAAAAAGGCACAAGGACAATGAATGGAGTCCAGTCAGTTCCACATCAGTGCCTTGAGAAGATAATCCTGAAGATTCCTGTTCCTAGATCCCTGGGGTTGTCCTGGTATCTCTCCTTCCAAAGACCTGACTTGTCAGCATTCCCTCTGATTCTACTAGCCACCCTCTGCACACCTTTCCTACAAATCCCTTTTGGTTTAAGTTAGAGTCCATTTCTGCTGCTTACAAAGAATCTTTTTGGGTATCAGACAATACCTCATAGACAACTCTGCCTTTAGCCCAAGCCTAAGAACATAACAAAAAAAAATTTTTTTTTTTGAAAATAAAGGCCATCCCGTGGAAATGTTTTCCATTTCCTGCAAAGAAAAACTGGTAAAGCCACTCGGAAATTAAATCCAAGTTCTGCATGATCACTAAGCATTGGTCCCATGTACTTTCTAGAGCTGGCCCTATTAATTGGTAAAATCTGTTAGGTGGCTAGGATTTTCAGCTTTTGAGCAGATCAGGTAAGGTAGTAAAAATGAGCTTACTTCATGGAATCCATGTGCTGTCAGAATGCTGCGCACCAGGCGACTGTCCGTTCGCACAATTTTATAAGACAAATGATAACGTTCTAAAGAAAAACACAGAATCAAGTTCAGTAAACAGAAAGTTAACCATAAAAACAGAAAAACTGTTAAATGGTGGCTTGCTTAATTATACTCAATAACATTATGCTGCTACTTTTTTTATTTTTTATTTATTTTTTTTAATTTTTTTTCCTTTTTGTCATTTTTCGTGTCCAGCAACGGACTGCAACCCTCAGTGTCGCGCCCGTACTGGGACCGGCAACGGGATCGCAACCCTCGGTGCTGCACCCGCCCCTCGCTCAGCCAGTGAGCGGAACCGGTCTGTATGTGGGATCCGAACCCTCAGCGGGAGCGCCGCCGCACTCCCAAGCGGCGCACTGTAGCAGTGCACCACCGGGCCGGCCCCTATGCTGCTACTTTTAAAACTACTATAAATAAGTTGAGGATTACTTTGGACCAAGGGTTCTTAATCTGAGATTCTTTTGGGGTTCACTAAACATAAATGGGGGGAAAAATTACATCTGTGTTTTCACTAGTTTCTAGTTGAAATTTAACAGTGCCTTCAATTAGAAATGTAGGCAACAAAGCAGGTAGTATTAACAGTATCTGTGACCTTAGATATCAGGTACTTTAGTATTATTTTACAGTTGTTATTATAATTATCTCAAAATATCACTTATTCTCCTAGTTTTTAAAAATTATGGTGGTTAACAGATTCCCACTAGATTGTTTTATTTAGGTACACTAATAAAAAATCACATCTATCACAAAGTTTAAAAAATATTTTGATTATATCTGAATACAACTGATTTCCATTCTAATCACTTTTTTTTTTAATCTACTTAAAAGCATTATTCTGAGAAGAGGCCCAAAGGTTTCTCCAGACTGCCCAGGGGGGGCCACTGTACCAAAAAGGTGAAGAACCCATGCTCTAGACACCTTGTGACCTATAATGCTGATGAGCCAGTACATCTTAAACCAGACATTAGAAACCAGCAGCCCAAGAGCCAAATCCAGCCGGCAGACATGGTTTGTTCATTTCCTTGTGGTGCTCTAAAACAAAATTGAATTAGTTGCTAACCTTTTGAAATTGGAAGAATTCACATAAAAATCTAAACTTCTGGGCTTCTTTTGAAAAACCTGACAACCTGGGCTCTCTTCTTTCCAATGGCAAGAGTCTACTGGAGAAATGAAACTGCCCCTCAGGACAGGCACACACCATGCAGTTCATTCATCACTGTACTTAGCCAGCTTCACCCATTCACATTTCCTGGCAAGCTCCTGTAAGCATTTGTGCTAGTGACTCCTGCATGAAAGGAAAGCCTATAACCATGTGAGATTTCAATATGTCCCTAAAGACTAACATTTATTCTGGATAAAATTCAATCTCTTTCTGTGCGCCACTACAAATTATTTGAAAAAGATAGCTAAGAATTCTACAGAACAATTTTTTTAAAGGACTGCATATTGAACAACTCCAGAATGAGTATAGTTCAAACACCTATGGACAGACTTCTGAACAATACTCAGCCTCCACAGTCAAAGACAACCACTTGTTTTTATGAATTGTTGTAAAAATACTTAGAAACCTCTGCTGCTACTTAACCAGCCCCAGCAAGGAAGACACAGGAGGACTGGCATTAAAAAGCCAAACACTCCATATTTCTCACTCTTGTGGCAAATTTTTAAAACCTAGTTACAGGGTTTTCCCAATGATCAATCACTAGTGTGTTGTCTTTGCAATATCATTACAGAAAAAACAGTGCAGGGTCAAATGTGTTTACTTCAGGCCAGAACATAATGTAGATATGCTATGCCAAAAAAAGAAGAAAATGCTCCAAAACTGATTGAGAACATACTGCAAGGATCTTGAAGAAGCTCCCAATGGCCAAATTTGAGACAATTTGAACATAAAAATGAACAGTGACAGAGATAGATCATAATGCACTTAATAATAAATCCAAGAATCCACACTTGTAGGGTAAGAAGGCATACTGGTTTTATTTTGCTGCTTGTAACAAATTACCACAATTGGCAGCTTCAACACAAATTTATTGTCTTACAGTTCTGTACGTAGAAGTCTAACACAGGTCTTACCAGGCTAAAAGCAAGGCACTGGCAGGGTTTGTTCCTTTCTGTAGGTTCTGGGTAGGATTTGTTTCCTTCCCTTTCCAGCTCTAGTGGCCACCCCCATCCTTTGGCTTCCAGCTTATGGTCCCCTTCCTGCAGCTTCAGAGCCAGCAACAGTGAGTTTAGTCCTTCTCACATCACATCATTCTGACCTCTTCTTCCTGCTTCTTCCACTTTAAAGAACACTTGTGATTATACTGGGTCCACTTGGATAATCCAGGATAATTTCTTTATCTTAAGGTCATCAGATTAGCAACCTTAGTTCCATCTGCAACTTTAATTCCCCTTTGCCATGTAAGGTAAACATATACACAGGTTCTGAAAATTAGGAGATGGACATCTTTGGGGGATCATTATGCTGCCTACCACAGAAGGGAAAATTCTTATTTACAGAAAATCCAGGGCTGGCCTGTGGCTCATTTGGGAGAGTGTGGTGCTGATAACACGAAGGCCGCGGGTTCGGATCCCTATATAGGAATGGCCGGTTAGCTCTCATGAGAAAGCGTGGTGCTGACAACACCAAGTCCAGGGTTAAGATCCCCTTAACTGGTCATCTTTAAAAAAAAAAAAATAAAGAAACAAAAGAAAAAGAAAATCCAGCTAATAAATGTACAAGGAAAGAAAGAAATAGAAAATCAGCATTTTACAAAAACTATAAGAGTAAGTGATTCAGACAAGAATCACTGGTTAAAGACTGTTGAGGAATCAGATATAATCATACATCTCAAAATGTCACTCCAGAGAATGCTTACAACAAAGGGGTAAGGTACCTTTACAGTGAAGTGATCTGGTGAACACTACCTTAACCAAATGATTAAACTTGCCCTCACCAATAATGCAAAATAATGACATCATATGCTCCCAAATGTGATACGCTGAGAAGGACACAACTTCACTAAGTGATATTCCTGCAAATTTTTAAAAATCTGAATCTAAACGTGTGGAAAGAATCACACAAGGATAACAATCAAACTTAAGGATACCTGCAAAACAACTAGTCTGGAATCTTTAAAAATGTCAATGTCATGAAAGACCAAAAAAAAAAAATTCCGAGAAATGGCTGTAGATTAAAGTAGACTAAAGAAACATGGCAACTAAATGTAATCTTTGATTGGATTCTAGACAGAAAAACAAAACCAAATTGCTATAAAGGGCAAAACTGGAACAATGAGAACATCTGCATAGGCACTGCAGATTAGATAACAGTACTTTACCAATGACAGATTACTGTGGTTATACAGAAGATGCCCTTGTTCACAGGAGATACATGCTGAATAACATATGAGGGCATGAAGTATTTGAATTAATTCTCAAATGGTTCAGAGAAAGAGAAAAAGAAGCAAATATGGCAAAATGTTAATAATTGGTCAATCTAGGGAAAGAGTATACACGTGTTCATTGCACTATTCTTGCAACTTGTCTGAAGGTTTTAATTTTCTAAATAAAGTGTTTAGAAAAATGAAAGAAAATTAGGTCCTTTCATTATAACTGTGATCACTAACATCTCCATTTTTGCACATGCAAAAGCCAAAGCATCATCAACTATGTGATTACTGCTGGAGACAAAGACTGTGTCTGATTCTGTGCATGTTCTGCAGTGCCAGTCTCTCAGTGCCAGACCATGGGGAAGATGATCATTAAGGTGGGTGGGAAAACAGAATGTTTACATGGGGACTGGGAGAAAAGGGGGGGAAATATGAGAAAGAGTGTCTCTAGAGCCAAACTGCTGGAGTTCACAGTCCTGTTTCTACTACTTCCTGCCTGTAATCTTGAGTAAATTATTTAATTTCTCTATGCTCAATTTCCTCACCTGTAAAACAAAGTTGATAATAACACTGCTTACCTCACAGGGCAGTGTAAGTACTAAATAAGTTAATACACCTAAAGCTTTAGAACAGTTGTTGCTACACAGTAAAAATTATTTTTATATAGTAAAAAAGTAAATACATAGAAAAATTGCTATTAATACATAGTATCATATATAGTAAATTACATACTTTATAGAGTAAATAAAAAATTTAAATGCTATTAATATTCTGTCTTCTATTCCTCCTATTATAGGAAAAAAATGCAATCACCACTGCACTCAGTAACAGACCTGATTCTTACAGTATATAAGCAGTAAGCAGTGATCATCCACTTCTAATCCATACCACCTAACTATAACTCAACTCAGATACATAGAACATGCTCCAAAAGGGGAGTGCAAGAAAGGAAGGGTGAAATGATATAAAGGAATCATCACTGCTGGGGACTTTTAACTCATATTCACTTTGTGTCCAACAGCCTCTGTATCCAATAATGCTGGTTAGTAGCTTATCTTAGACCAGAGGTTATAAACTTGTTATCTTAGACCAGAGGTTATAAACTTGACCAAAAATATTCACAATAAATTCAATTTCTTTCAATAAATTCAATGAAACATTTAATAGAACAAACAGAAAGAACAAAGCTGGCATATAACACTATGAAATCAACAGAAGATAACTAATGCCCCAGATATACTTCTCAAGGGGATTTAACCACAGACTTATGGTCTGAGCAGATCTATGTCAGCTATTTAAGAAAGCCAAAAAAAAAATGTTACAGACGAAGAGTGTTTAACAATTCAGAAAACTGAGGCAGCAACTAGCAAAAGTCAAATTGTTCTTTTCAAAAATGAAGGTGAAGAAAATTACTAAATCTCAAGGAAATGGGGCAGATAAGAAACATTCAAAAACAGAATTTGAGAAAAATTTAGTGGCATTTTCTTTAATCACAGGAACGTTTAAAGAAAAAAACCCAAAGACTTATGGATTCTGGAAAATAGTATTTGCTTGAATAGTGGGAAGAATACATTAATGGATATTATTTTCCAGTTAAAGAAGGGTCTGCTTATTGCCACGGAATACATAAATTATTTTGTGACACACACGACAAAAGAAGCATGTTTTGAGCAGACTATTTACTCCTCTCGTTTTATCTGCCTTCGACATTTTGGTTCAAATAATGTTTAGAAGGAGTTTCTCAGCAAAGGGTCTTCAGTTAAGCTTCAAAGAATATGAATGAACTATGTTCCTTTAAGTGGTAACCTAGCAACTTGCTGAGGGCATTAGAACATAACGACCCTTGGGGAGGAAGGAGGATTCAAATCCCAGAAGCAGGTGCTCACAGCCCTCTGAACTCCTGGCTTATTATAGGATGATAGACCTTAAAGTCATTTTAAAGTACAGCAAATCCTATTCAGCAAGTACAGTAAGCAGTACAAGTTTTGTATGTCTACTATATGCCAGACATTAAACGACCTCTCTTAATCCCTACAATGCCTGCAAGGTAGATTAGATATTATCTCCATTTTACAATAATGAAACTGGTTAAGAGAGTTTAAGTGACTTGCCCAGGAGTCTCAGCTATTAAATGCTAAAGCTGAGATTTGAAGCAATGACTTGAGAACCCAAGTATAAGCTCTTTCCACTACACCACTTGACAGTTCTGACCCACATCATTATAACCTTTAAAGACAGCTACATGCTAACCCAGGACTCAGAGAACTGCTTAAAATCTAAGAGGAGTGGAGATAAATGAAATTGAGAATAGACAAATACAAAAATAAGCAAAACCAAAAGTTGATTCTTTAAAATGATCAACAAAATTCACAAACCTATAGCTAAACTAAGAAAAAAAGAGAAAAGACTCAAATTACTAAAATCAGAAATAAAAGTGGAGAGACGGCCCACAGCTCACTCGGGAGAGTGTGGTGCTGATAACACCAAGGCCACAGGTTCAGATCCGTATACAGGGATGGCCGGTTAGCTCACTTGGGAGAGCATGGTGCTGACAACACCAAGTCAAGGGTTAAGATCCCTTTATCAGTCTTTAAAAAATAAAAATAAAAAAAAAAAATGAAAGTGGGAACATTACTACTGACCTTACAGAAATAAGGATTATAAAAGAATACTATGAACAATTATATAGCAACAAATTAGATAGGATAAATAAAGTAGGCAATTACCTAAAAACACACAAACTACCAAAACTGACTCAAGAATAAATAGAAAATATAAATAGTCCTAAAACAAGCAGAGGTTGAATCAGTAATCAAAAACCACCCATCAAAGAAATGTCCAAGATCAAATGGCTTCACTGGTGAATTCTACCAAACATCTTAAAGAATTAACACCAATCTTTCTGGAACTCTTCCAAAGAAGAGGAAAGAACTCATTCTATGATGCCAGCATTATCCTGATGCAAAAGCCAGACAAAGGCATCAGAAAAAAAGAAAACTGTAGACCATATGACTTTATGACTATAGACGCAAAAATCCTCAACAAAATACTAGCAAGCCAAATCCAGCAGCATATTAAAAGGATTATTCACCATGACAACATAGGATTTACCTCAGGAATGTAAGGATGATTCAACATACAAAATGTCAGTCAATATAATACCCCACACTAATACAATGAAGGGGAAAAAAACTTCTCATCTCAATTGATGTAGAAAAAGCATTTGAAAAAATACAATACCCTTTCATGATAAAAACACACAACAAACTAGGAACAGAAGGGAACCTCCTCAACATGATAAAGGACATCTATAAAAAACCCACAGCTAACTTCATGCTGAATGGTGAAAGAGAGAAAGCTTTTCCCCTGAGATCAGGAACAAGACAAAGATGCCCTCTTTTGCCACTTCTACTCAACATCGCACAGGAAATTCTAGCCAGAGCAATTAGGCAAGAAAAAGAAATAAAAGGTATCCAGGTTGGAATGAAAGAAGTAAAATTATCTCTATTTGCAGATGACATAATCTTGTATGTAGGCTATCCTAAAAAACATATACACACAAAACTATTAAATCTAATAAACAAGTACAGCAAGGTTCCAAGACCAGATCAGTATACAAAACTCAAACCCAAAAATGAAATTGAAAAAACAATTCTATTTTCAATACCATCAAAAGAATAAAATATTTAGTAATAAATTTAACAAAAGTAAATGACTTGTACACTGAAAACTGTAAAACATTGCTGAAAGAAATTAAAGACAACCAAAATAATTAGAAAGACATCCCGTGTTCATGGACTGAAAGACAACATTGTTAAGATGGCAATACTCTCCAAAGTGATTTACAGGTTCATGCACTCACTATCAACATCCCAACAGCCACTTTTACAGAAATGGAAAAGCTGATCTAAAATTCATATGGAATTGCAAGAGATCTTAAATAGCCAAAAGGATCTTGAAAAAGAACAACAGTGTTAGAGGATTCACACTCCCATATTTCAAAACTTAATATGAAGGTACAGTAATCAAAACAGTAAGGTAACTGGCATAAGAATAAATGTACAGATCAATGGAATATTAAGAGTCCAGCAATAAATTCATACATCTACAGTCGATTTTCGGCAACAGTGCCAAGACCATTCAACGGGGAAAGAATAGTCTCTTCAACTAACTGCGCTGGGACAAGTGGATATCCACATGCAAAAAAGAATGAAAGTAGACCCTTACCTAGCACTATGTAAAAAAATTAACTCAAAGTGGATCAAAGACTATTTAGATCTAAATATAAGAGATGAAATGATAAAACTCTTAGAAAAAAATATGGGGATCATGACCTTGGGTTAAACAATGGTTTCTTAGATATAACACCAAGAGCATTAGCAACAATAAAAAAAAATAGATAAATCAAATGTCATCAAAACTAAAAACTTTTGCTCATGAAAGAATGCTATCAAGAGAGCGAAAAGACAATCCACAGAACAGGAAGAAAATATTTGCAAATCATATATTTGATAAGGGTCTAATATTCAGAATAAGGAACCCCTTCAACTCAACAAAAAGGACAACCAAATTTTAATAATGGGCAAAGTCCTTGAATAGACATTTCCCTAAAGGTCTGTAAATGGCCAACGAGCACATGAAAAGATGCACAATGTCATTAATCACTAGAGAAATGCAAATAAAAACTAGAATGAGATACCACTTCATACTCACTAATATGGCTATATTCCAAAAGACAGAAAACAATGTTAGCAAGGATGTGGAGAAATTTGGACCCATATATATGCAGGTACTTCAAAAAGTTCATGGAAAAACAGAATTAAAAGACAATGTGAATTTCTCCATGAACTTTTTGAAGTATCCTTATATAGTTGGTAGGAATGTAAAATGGTGCAACCACTGTGGGAAACAGTTTGACAGTTATTTAATAAGTTTAAAATTGAATTACCATATGACCTAAAAATTCAATTCCTAATACCCAAAGGAATGGAAAACCAGTGATCAAACAAAACCTTGTCCATAAACATTCACTATTCACAATAGCCAAAAGGTGGAAACAACACAAATGTCCATCAACCAATGAATAAATAAACAAAATGTGATATATCCATACAATGAAATATTATTCAGCCATGAAAAGGAATGAATGACTGATACAAGCTCCAACATGGATAAACCTTGAGAATATTATGCTAAGTAAAAGAAGCCAGGCACAAAAGGCCACATATTGTCTGATCCCATTTATACGAAATATCCAGAATAGAAAAATCCACAGAGACAGAAAGTAGATTAATGGCTGCCAGGGACTGGCAGAATTGGAAAATGGGGAGTGACTACATAATGAGTATAGGCTTTACTTTTGGGATTATAAAAATGCTCTAGAACTGGACAGTGGTGATGGTCGTACATCATATATGTACTAAACATCAATGAATTGTACACTCCCAAAATGGCTAAAATAGTAAATGTTGTTATGCATATTTTACTACAATTTTTTAAAAAATAAACACATGTATGCATAGTTCTGGAAAAAAATTCAGACAAAAAATATATGTAGAAAGCAATTTAAGAAATTATAAATAATTCAAGTGTAACAACTCAATAGATTTTTCTCATGGCCAAGGCCCTTTCCCTATGTCATGTCAATTTCTTCAAGACAAGGTTGTCAGGGCCACGTCCAGCTCTGCCCTCTGTGGGAGAAGTTATACCCACCTCCAATTACTCGAATATTGTTGTCCTTTGTCAGAATAGCCTCAGCATGGAATACCAAAACTGGAATTCTCCTGCAGCCTCCAGTCCACATGATACATGGATGATCCCTACAACCATAAAAGGTTTCATTAATTTACAGCTCAAAATCTGAATTAACTGCTGAAGCATATTACTGTGATTTGTTGCTTAGTAACTTCCCCCTTCCTCCTGGAATGAGAACTCCAAATATCCTGTGGGAAATCACTCATCTCCCATTTTTAGCCATGTGTTTGTTTAAGATGAACTCCATCCCTGCTTTAGGGAAGGATGGGCCTTGATTGGTTTCAGCCAATCAGGACATTCCATCACTGTTATAGTGATTGGTTCATGGATGGGCACATAAACCAACAGAGTACAAGGAGACATGTTCTGAAACCCTCTAAGAAAGCAATGATCTCTTTCTCTTCTGTAGCAGCTACAAGCAATGGCCTCTCTTCCTCTTGAAGGTGCAGGATGAAAATGAGAAGTCTGGAACTGCAACAGCCATTTTGTGACCTTCAGGGGAGAGCTTGGAGTTGGTGGTAAAGGAGGAAGTCAGTGGGAGCCTGACTGAAAGGAGAGAAATAAGATCCTGGGTCATAGAGTCAGAGTGCGGAATAAAGCCTTACTTAAATATGAGTAATAAATTCCTTTTATAATTTAGGACAATTTGAGTTATGTTTTAATCTCTTGTACACATAAAGAATCCTAACTGATATATGTTATATACCCCCTTTATACCCCACAGTCCCTTTTCAAGCCAATTTGATGACCTATCCTAATATTCTAAGGTAGGAACCCTAAATTAATACAGGTATCTCAGTTAAAAATGACATACTTTAAAGAAAGCCTATGCTAAATAGAAAAACATACATTTTCCTCCAGTATAAAACCACAGGGCAGAAAGGGACTTCTGACTTTATTCTCTTTGCCTATCCTCAGGAAATCTCAGTTTAATCAATCTTACAATCTTAGACAGATGGATATATTACTCACAGATTAGGAAAATCTGCAATACCTTAGTAAAGGGAAGTAGGAAGGGAAAGAAAGTTAAATGAACTTAGTCCCTACTATGAGCACAGGAATTAAACTTTCACATGTTTTCTCACTTAATCTTCTTGCCCACAAAATAAACAAAAGAAAAAGTGTCTCAGAGAAGTTAAGTAACTTCCCCAAGGTCACACAGCTGGGTTAAGTAAGGGAACAGGTATCTGAACAATGTGCTCTTCCTACCTTTTGCCTCTCTGGTCACATTTGAGTCAAGTTCTGTATATTGAACACCTTGAACTCAACTCTTTGCAAATTTAAACTAATCAATTCCTTAAATGGAATAAGATCCACTTAGCCACGATTCATTCTGCTCTTAAAAACTCACATGATCACACCCCTTAACGAGGGCCACACCACAAATCTTAGGACCAAGTCAGATCCTCCCAATCCAAGTAAAAAAAGATCCACACTTTGAATGCACAGGCTGCTAGGCTACCAATCTTAGAAGTGAGACAGCCTTTAGACTAGGAATGAGCTACGAACAGTTTCTTGGTGAAGAAAGCAAAGAACACCTGTTTTCTAGAAACGGAATGTGGATTCTTATCATTCTTGTTCTTTGATTGGGTTGACAGTGCCCGTTTTTGAGAAATGGTGTTTATAGGGTACAGTTTTCAGCAAGGATTTTTTTGTGGTTTGCTTGCTTTTTAATCTTAAACACTTATAAAATGTGAGCATGAGGCCAGATGATTCCTATGATCTCTTCCAACTTTAATTTTTCCACTATCTTTCAAAGTCAGCAGATAGAGAAAAATATAGGCAGCCTAAACTACAAAGTCTTGGATAGAAACTTTGGAAACTATCCAAAGTTCCTTGTCAATCTAGTACTAGCTACAATGGGCACCACTGTGCCCTAGCATTTACAAACAATGGATTGCTCCTACAAGTTTAAAATGCCTGACAAGAGTCAGAACACAATAAACAGATCCACAGCTGAGAAGAGCCAAGGCCCTAATTATATTATCTGTGCAAAGACAAATCTCTGACAGAGAAATCTTTTCACTTATGACCTATGAAAGATAAACAAGAGTAGACAAATTAATTCAGAAAGGTCAACTAAAAAACACTTAAAGGCATTAAAAACATGCTCCCACCAGGTGGTGCTAAAGGGAAAAAAGTTCAAAATGATGAAACTGAAAATTGGGACTTTAAATTTTCATTCACCTCAGCAACTGGTACATATCAAGAAAATCTGCTTTTTTAGACATGAAAGAACAAAAGATTTGAAAGATTAATTGCCAAAGCAGGCCAGTTTCATGGTTCAATTTATCAAAAGCCTAAAACATTTTGGTTTTTAAGAAGCAATTTCAAGAGGAACATATATTATTTACTCCTGGGACCCAGCCTACATAACTCGAAGACGGATATGTAAAGCAGCTTTTGTGTTTCTGCTTCTATGCTGTAAAGCTACAGCAATAGTATTGCTAAGTGACTATACCACTTGTCAGGTTACAGCAATAGCTATGCTAAAGCCAAAACATTTCATTATTTTAGTTATACTAAGTTTCCATTTGTATTGTCAGGGCTAGGGCTCAGACCCTTCAAAACCATTGTACTGACTGGGTCACCAGACTCCTTACATGCCAGGCTGGGTCACAGACCCCTCACACGCAGGTCCACACTAGGTAATTGGGAAAGATCCCGGGAGCTATTGGCAGATGACACGAGCTCAGTCCTCAGCAGTAGTAGGAGCAGCTTACAGCTGCCTCCAACAGTGAGGGTGGCCTCCCAGAGTCCCTTGCAGCAACAGCTTACAGCAACAGCCTCCAGAAGCAATAGAGACCTCTCTGTGGCCCCCTCCCCCTGTGGATCACAGCTGCTCGTCCTTTGTACTTAAGTCCATAACCCAGGACACCTGGGTGCACATCGCAATTACATTAGACAACAATCAAGGGACACCTGGGCACACATGCATATTTACATCAAACGCTCAGCAAGATTCTGAACATCTGAGGGGCCCTGACCATTTTCCTGTATTTTCCCTACATATGTCTTCTTCATACCATTGCCACTGCTAGAAATGCCTTCCCCACTTATCTCTCTCAGCTTGAGCCGACCCTTGAAGCCCCCCCACCTCAAGTCTCACCCCCTCCATGGAACCTTCCCCAGCTCCTCCAGCCCATGATTATGCCCTCTTCCTCTGAACTCCTGTAGCACTCACTGTAAAATTGTTTGTTGATCATCTTTTTAAAACTGAAACAAAGCCAGTTTTTAGTTATAATTTTTTCAGTGACTAAGAAAACCTTACATCACCAAAGTTTCCACATCTATATATTAATATGTATTTGGGATCCCCAAGCAAAATATAGAAAAATAGCCTCATTACATTTACCATGTGAAATAATGCCATGTACAACAAGGACTTCCTGGACAGTTTCTAGCCTTAAAGTCCAGGACTGCAAGGCACTAATACTTTAATACAGCCAATACAGTCTAGAACTGAGCAGATTTAACAGATGTCCATGAATATAATCTTTGCATCAAATTAACATCTTTAGATGATTTAAGGCCTTCTAACTTTTAAAACTTTCACAATGTAAGCATACTGTTCCAGGTGTGAACAAGATTGATTTAAGCTTCCTAATGTAGAAAACAAGTATATGCTAGACAAGGCATAAGCTGATGGAACAAGATGAACAGTTAAAAATCAAGAATAAGAGTTTGAGAGGAAGAAGTGCAAAACATCCATGAATTTGAATGGGGGAGGGAGGGAATTACACCTTTATTTTCACTAACTTCTACCAGAAGTCTAGCATTCCTCAACTATGAATATAGGCAATAAAGCACCATAGTATTAACATTATCTGTGGCTTTGACTCTATCTGAAATTACAGGTATTTTTACATCATATTACAGTTGTTGCAGATATTGCAAAACATTATTTACATTTATCGCTACTTCTAAGTTATGGTATTTATTAGATTCATCACTAGATCACATGTGATCACAGTCTTTCTGTCTAGATTCTAGTGTGATGAGGCTAGACAACAACTGAGCAACTCTCTCCCAGTAATCATTCAGTTACCAAATGGTGACATCTTATGTTGGTGGCCCAGACATCTACATTGCTTCCCAGGACTTCCCATTTATAATTGTTAATCAAAGACCACCCCACAGTGTAATGATCTTGCAAAAACAGTCTTCATGCTTTTGTCTTTAGAAAATAAAATTTAACTTTCCCAGATTTTAAATCAATGATCTTGTTATTTAATGTATTAATAAAAAAGTATATATTACTGTATTACAAAATTTTAAACAAATTTTGATAATGACATTTCAATGTAATTGGTACTCTTTGTAATCATATGTATTTTATCTTAAGCACTTACACTCTGATAAGGGATTCATTGCATAAAAAAGGGTAAGAACCTCTGGTCTGAAGTATACGGCCTTCATTTATTTATTCGTTTAATTATTCAGTCAGCAAGTATTTATTGAGTACCTACTATACTATTAGGTTGAACCATCTGCAATTGTCAATATTTGGCTGTTTTTGACCTATCAAAATGGCAATTTCATACAATTCAATCTAGTACTTGTCAGGCCCAACATCTAAGCCCACTAATAAGAGATATCAATGCAGTAAAAGTACAATCTTGAAAACAGAAAGACTTATGCTTGCAGCAGAAGTTAAAAATTTTGTGAAATGGGTAAGAGATAGCACACTGAAAAAAAAAGTCACAAGAGGGCAAAGTAACCAGAGGGAATTATGCATTTAACTATCCTGAGTGAGAATGACCCAAATATATTGTCGAATCTCTATTATTTTCTGACCTAAAGAACGACGAGAAGCCTTTCCTCAAAGCTTTATTAACACTTCAATACTTTTTTGAAATTACATTAAGTAACGTAATCTTCCACCTTATAAAAACTCCATCACAAATTCAATATTAAAACCAGTAAGAATGCCTTACATTTGTACAGTACTTTATAATTTACAAAGTAATTTTACACACATTATTCTATTTGATCCTAACCACACCCCTATGAAATAGCCTGGGAGATATTATCCCTATTTTTCAGGTTATACAGCACATACATATCCAAAAGGACTCACAAAGAATCTTAAAAACAAATCTTAACTTTATGCCAGACTCTGTTCTGTGTCAAGTAATATGAAAAAAGGTAAAATAGCAAAGTGCTTCAAAATCTAGGAAAACCAAGACGGAATCTCAATCCATCACTTATTTTCTATGCGTCCCTGAGGCAGTTTCTTAATATTTGTAAAGCTAAATTTAATAATGTGGAAATAATAACATCTTCAGACTAAATAAGAAACAGTAGTTTAATCTTCAAAATAAATGAAATACAAATGAGATAAAGCCCTTCCCATCATCTATAGCACCTGCAGTTATTACTATCATTCATTTTTATTATAAAGATCCAGCAATCAAGAAACTTGACTCTTACCTAAAAGAACTCAGAAAAGTAATGTGGTTCAATGGACACAGCACAAGCTAGAGAACTCTAATGTACTGCCTCACAGTTACTATGGTAAGTTACCTGGCCTCTGTATATTACCATCATTCTATCATTGTAAAGGCTTTTGAGAAAATTAGCATAACATAACCAACATTACAGAGTTTGTAGACCTATTTTTCTTCAATATCTAAAATTTCCAAATCTCCTACATTGGGAGCTCTGATCAAGAGTTCACTGAAAGCTACTCCTTGCATTTCACAACATTTAGAACTTATCTTCACTCATGAGCCCAGAAACAGAGCCTTATCCCTAGTAGCTGATGGGGACTGAATAATAAGATCTCAAATTAGGTCATGGATAGGAGCTAAAACCAAAGTGAGACAATACCAAAGGAAGTATGTTGGATAACAGTATATGGTAAAAGAGAACTATTTCCCATCCCAAAGGCAGAGTCAAAAGCAGGCTTGCTGTTACTTACTCTTGGCTTACCACCTCCTCATCCTCTGAGGATGATGCTGTTTCCTCCAGGTCCCGGGCCATCACGACTGGCATTTCCTTTAGGGTTTGTCATGCAGTCAGCAGAAAGGGGCCTCAGAGACCTCTCCTTGCAGATTCACTGGATCAATTTGGGTGGCACAGATTCCTGCAAGAAAGTCAATTGATCTAAAACAGAATGCTGTTGTCTTTTTATTGATTACTGCTGATGATCTTCCAAGTAATGGAAATATACACCTAAATAGTGCCCAACCTCTAGAAGCTTACCTTCTATCACAGTGCCTCACATTTACCACACAAATCAAGATTTTTTTCAAACATACCATCTGTGCTCTATGTATTTGAAGAACGGTTACTAAATTTGAGTTTCTCATCTGTCTCCCATATACTAAACCTAATATGCACCAAAAAGGATAGGCTCACTTCACTTTTTGTGCAGTTTGAGGTGGGTGGCTGATTCCCTAAAACACAGATTCCTTGCTAGACAAATATGACCTAGACAAAAATAAAACTCAAGGTTTAAAACCCCTGCAATTGTTTGTTTAGATTATATGATAAGCTCAGGCAAGATGCCATCATGTCTCCAGTAAAACAAATTCAACAACTGAATCGAAAGATTAACTTGTATATTTTCCTAAATCAAGGATCATATAAACAGCTGGGGGGAAAAGCACTACTTTTTCAAACACTTAAGTATTCTTCCTTACTAAAAATCACAAACTTTGATCTGAATTTCAAATAGAAATAAAAATTAGGAAATTTCCAAGACTGCATTTCTAACTTGAAATATTTTTTCCATATGAAAAAAGTACGTGTTCGTCGTTATGTGTTAAAGGAGGAAACAAAAACTACAAATAAAGAAAATGAAAACATTTAAATGACCATAATCCCATTACTCAGATATAACCACTTGATGTCAATCTTTCCAAACTTTATTTTTCTATGCATTCATATATACGGTAAGATTGTACATAAGACAAAAAACACCGACCCAGATAATGGTCCCTACAGATTTTCAGCGGAACAGGCAATATCTAACAACCTCAATGGCTTCCTTCGGAGGATTCTCAACGGGATTTCTCGATGTTTCCCAAAATGTTAGGAAGTCCTTTAAGTCAGAACAAACAAAACCTCCGAGAGAGGAAGGGATATCAACTTTTCCTAGGCTGTCTGTAGAGCGGGGAGAGACAGAGGCGATCGAAAGAAGATTAAGGACACTCACCTAAGGAGCGTTCTCCCCTAAAGGGATCTGCCCCTCAGCCCCACTCCCAGCTCACCCCAATCCCCGGTAGGTCCGCAGGTGCTACCCCCAGGATGAAGGGACGACTCCGCCGCAGCGACTCAGCCGGGCGAGCCCGGAAGCCAAGAGCTGCTCCCGAGCTCTGAGAGGGAAGTGCAGCGGACCGCGCCGGCCCAGACCCGGGAGCGCACCTCCCTCGGGGAGGCAAGCGCGCCGGCGCAGGCGTTTACCTGTCTCATCTTCCCACGGCTCGGGCGGGCAGGCGGGGACCGCGCTCTGCGCCTATCTCCCTCCTCCTTCCCCAGCCGGGCTCAAGTAGGCAGCCGACTGCTGCTTCCCCCGTTACTACAACAACCAACAAGTAACCGCCTGCCCGGAGCCACTGCGCAGGCGCCCGCCACCCGTCGCAGAAAACTCTCGTCTGCGGTCGCGGACGAATGTCGTCACCGCCGCGCAGTGCGGGCTCAGAGCCCTTCCCACTGCACAGGGAGACTTCTTTATTCCGCTTTTTCTTCCTCCGTCCCTAAAAGGTTGACTCCAAACCCGGAGTTCCGCCACGCTTCACAGGAGGGTTCACTACGTGAGCGGCGTAGCGGGGAAGAGGCTTAGGCAGCGGCAACCGCTGATTGGCAGTGAGGGGGTTCACGCCCCATCTCCTGCTGGAGCTAAACCGGCACAGCCAATCAGAGCGAGGACTGACGGAAACGACCCAATCCTGGAGCCGGGCTGAGGGCGGGGGCGGGCACAAATGTCTCAGGTGGACTCGGGGTTGGAGCTGTCCTGGGGGCTCTTCGCTGTTGCTGCTGCTGCTGCCGCTGCTGGTACTGCCTTGGGGGGTCCCGTAGCTAGGTAAGGAGAATTTGGGGTAGAAGAGGGATGTAGGTGGTTGTGTAGCATCTGTTTGAGAAGATCGGGAGAGTCTGGAAGAATGGGGGTGAGATGAAGGGAAGATACCTGGGAGGCAACCTTTTGTGGGGAGAGGAAAGAGCTAGGAAGATGGAGAAGGCTTGTTAAACTCGGGGAACGAAGGAATGGATGAACAAACGAGCAGCCAGTGTGAGATAGCACTGTGCAAGGAACCTTCAATTTTTCTCATGTAGTTTTTATAATAATCCTTGAGGTAGATATTTGTGTTTCCATTTTGCAGATAAGAAAATTGAGGCTGAAAAGTGTAAATGACTTGCCCAGGGTCACACAGCTACTAAATGGTAGGGCTAGGAATTCCTCTCTCCTCACTCTAAGTTTTAACACCACACCTCTGCTAGGCTGGGCCAAGGCAAAATTTGGTAATAAATATTGTATAAAGTCTAGGAGGTCCGAAAGCTTTAGGGAAATGGGATTGAGGATTTGGAAGAGCAATCCAGAAGTGCACAGGCGCTGTCCTCCTCAGCTGTCAGGATTTCTTAGAGCTTCTGTGAAATGGAAGGCTTAATTAAGTTCTGCTGAAAAGGGGATGGAGGGGGCAGTATCCATGGAGCATTTCTCACCCTGGGAGACCTGAGTCTCTGTTGAGAGAGGGTGAAAAGATAAACGGGATAGGTGGATCTTGGGCCAGGCTATAACTGCCTGTGACGTCCAGTAGACTCCTCTTTTCTCTGGACCTGGACAGAGTGCACCTTTCCGGGAGGGACTCATCAATTCACCCTTCTTCTAGAGCTCCTTTTTGTTTGGTTTTTGGTGCTTCACAGTGTCTTGGGCAATCTCAGCTGGGTAGTGTAGGACCATACTGAAATCTCTATTGCCAAAGTAACACAAAGGAAGCCTGATAGTTTATTACTGTTTCAGGACTAAATAGTTTACCTGATAATAGATAAACTGTGGGCAAAAAAAAAAAAAAAAAAAAAAGATGGGAAGAAGTCATTCCATTATTAGATTCTTTATCTATATAGGTTTTATTTAAATCAAATTAATTGAAATCACTACTCAATAAGAGTGGATCTCAGCTTTTTTTAAAAAAAACAACAAGTATATAACCTGATTGTATTTTCTATATGACTTGAAGCAAGAGTAGCTATGGTATGCTTGTCTTCCTCAAAAATGGGAACTCAAAATATTCTCAAGTAGTGAGGTAGTATTGCAACGTAGAGTCTAACAGACCATAGTTTGTATCTCAACTTTACCACGTATTAACAGTGTGACCTCAACACTGCCACTCTCTGTTCCAAACCTCATCTGTAAAATGGAAATATTAATAGTGACTGCCTACCTTGTAAGAATTAAATGAAATAAAATATGTCAGGTGCCTGTTACAGTGCATGGCACAAGTGCTATTACAATTTCTCTTGCAACCCAACACCAGATTGCTGTTTCCTTCTCCATATAATTTTCTTACTAGTTCTAAAGGCACAGCATTTTATTTATTTTTAACTTTTAGATTGTTCTTCTTGTCCATACAGCATGGTAAACTTGAGAACCAAAGTAGAGAAAACCTAAGGAAGTAAATAGTGCCCTCACACCATAGGTTCAACTCAAATGTATAAGTCTTCTGTAGGCTTGAAAGGATCTCTTACCAATAGCGAGGCAGGTATCTGTGAGTAGATTTACAATCACCTTTGAGCCACTTGCTTTACAAAGGAATGGCATGAAAAAAGTAAAGACATAGAAGGACTTGTTCCAACTAAGAGACAGGAGTTCTGATTTTGTAATATTTTGGAGAAATTGCTCGGACAAAGATAAGTATTGTGCCACTTATTGCGAAATATACTGTTCACTCACCACTATTAATGTGTGACTAAGTATTGAGACCAATTTCTATATGCCTTACACAGAAATCCATTTAATTACTTTGTAGTTGTATTTGTATGCCTCTTTTCCTTCTGTTCCCCTTCTTCTCGCCATTTTTTCCTTCTGGGTTTGTCATTTCTACCCACTGTATTATTTAGCCTTTGTCATTCTAGGTAAAGGTCAGCACACTTCAGTTTAGGGTAACTATTCAAAGGCAATATGCTAACCCTGTGAAGTAAGAGTATTGTGTTAAGAAAACTGGAATAGATGAGCCAAGGACTTGGAGAGGAATTTATGAAGTGATTGACCTTCTAAGTTTACTATAGCTCTTGTGAGTGGGACACAGATTAACCACAAAGGTGAGAGAGCTTATGGTTGAAGTAGACTGACCCTTGTTGTTTTATGTCCTTTACCTTTGTTTGCAAGGCTAAAAGCCATCTAAGGTTTGAGGGGAATCATGAGCCGTTTCCTGAACGTGTTAAGAAGCTGGCTGGTTATGGTGTCCATCATAGCCATGGGAAACACACTGCAGAGCTTCCGAGACCACACCTTTCTCTATGAAAAGCTGTACACTGGCAAGCCAAACCTCGGTAAGAAATCAAAGAACTGCATCCTGTGTAGGAGTGGCCTAAGTTGTGGTTCCCAAACCAGGCTGTACATCAGAATAACCTTGGAAACTTAAACAAAGCACAAGTACTCATTTTCTTCTCCAAACCTATTTATTGAAACTGGTGGGGCCCAGAATCCAGTTTCTTCCCAAGTGATTCTGATGCTGCCTGATCTAGCCTTTGGCAGCCACTAGAGATAATGACTTTGTGGAGAGAAGCTTCTCTGAATACTTTTCATTCATTTTATACTGCCCTGGGCAATTAGTGTGTACAAAAAGCATTATAAGGGCAAGTGAGGTAATAAAATGGCTTGGTGACTCTGAGATGCCCCAATAGCAAACCATAAAGAAGAGTTTCAGATTGTCTCAAAGCACTCTTCAGAAGTCATGTTGTGGCACACATGGTTTGTATTCCATGTGACAGATGGAGCGTTACTAATCCAGGGTCTCCCAAAACCATGACATGGTCCCTGAGAAGATACCCAAAATCCTTCCAAGTTGGTCTCCAACGTCAGAAGGCCCATAGTGGCCTTTCCCAACTTCCCAAGCCTCTCTGCTGAGAGTGATTTTACAGTTCAGCTTGTACTTGGTCGTGTTGATGTGTGGGGTAGTTTGAGCTGCAGCACCATTTAACAGCAGCAGAAAATTCTATGTTCATTTATAGCTAACCCAGATTCAGGCTCTGACCTAGCTCATTGTTCTGCAACATCTGGGTATAAAATGAAATTAAATAGGCTAAGACTCATTTTGAACAAAACTCAAATACAATAGGAATAAAGAATTTGGGAAAGTGAGCAGGACAGTTCCATTTTTTTCACCTTCAAATGTTGCCCTCAGATGGCCATGGAATGCTGTATGTATTCACAGGTTTTTAAAGGTTATTTGGTCTAACCCTTTGAATTTAAAGGGGAATGTGGGTGGGGGGCAGGGGGTTGGCCAGCCCAGAAGTGTGAAGGCTCCATCCTCCTTCATGATCTGGGGGCTGTCAGTAATCTGCCAATTGTAGGGTGCTCTGGAGTGTCCCATAGCATATCACCTGATGCCTAACTTGGTTAAGGGCTGGTGAAGTACTCCACTCTAGTATCTCACTAACTAGAGAAATCTCCTCAGTCATTTCATCAGAAAAGCTATCAAATTGGTTTATAAAGAATGTAGTTCTCCAGGACTAATGCTAGATATTTGATTGGCATATGGAATTTTTTTCTCACTGCCATCTAAAGGTCTTCAGTGATGTAAATTTGGTAGAACTGTCTGTTTTTCCAAAGGCTGGAAATTCCTAAGTCCAAGTAACATTAATAGACCTTGCTGTTATTAGTCTTGTCCCTTGAAATTTCTCTTGCTTAGCAAGAGATAGACCAGCAGAGGAAGTATCTTTGCTTTCACTGTTTGGGCATTTTTGAGCCACTGGATGACTTAGATCAATGGCTGTACATTTAAATCACCCAAGTAGGAAGTTTCTAGAAAATGCTTATGCCCAGGGCCCACCTCCAGAGAGTATGATATAATTGATCTGATACCCACGCCTTGGTAATTTTATAAAATTCCCTCAGTTAATTCTAATAAAGACCCAGGGTCAAGAACCACTGTTATGGTGGAATATGACCCATATTTCAGAACAAGATATTTAATACAGTAGTGTCAGAACGAAGCCACCAAGAGCAGAGCAGAGTGCTCCAGCAAACACCATAGAAACAGTGCTTTGTTCCACTACTATGTGCACAGGAAACCAGCCTGGTTTGGGCTTCATTCAAACAATGTAGATCTGTTGTTTTTGTTTTGGCGGCTGGCTGGCACAGAGATCTGAACCCTTGACCTTGGTGTTATCAGAAACAATGTACATCCAGATTCAGGAAGAGATTTAGGGTCTTAGGTCTCTTTAAAGAGCATATGTGGGGCATTGAGATTGGTCCCTGTGTCTCTGAGTTCTCTTCTGCTTCAGCCTTGAAAGTCAACTGGCCTCCTAGGTATCTTACATTGACAGATCAATCTCTGCAGCATTCCCCTAAACCTATCTTGATCCAGACTCTCTGGGCTTCCAGGGGAAGAGGATGTAAACTACTACAACCAGGAGTTATTTGCCTTAAGTGGGCTCTTTGTTGGGTTTCCACTTTTGGAACTCCCCCCGCAGCTGTAGACACTTAAGAGGATCTGAGCAGTTCTCATTTGGGAATTCGTTCCATTCCTTCTGGTCCCCATGTGCAACACTAGAACCTTCACTCTGCCCATCCACATGAAAGTGAGGCTCAGCTCGCTACCTCCCATGAATC